AGAAAAGGGCTGCTGTTGCAGCTCAAGTGGTAGACGGCCTGCCCAGCAAGCGTGAGGAAGTAAGTTCAAACCCCAGTAGCACCGTAAATGGATAAGTAAATAAACGCTCAACTTGTTAAAACTCATCATTTAACACCCGGATAACTGGTCTCCAGAACGTGTACCCGGGGACCAGAGAGCACAAACAGGTAAACACTCAGTGTACAGAGCAAGGCAATCTTGCCACTGCCCCTAGATGAACCCCAAAGACCAGGTATGCGGCACCTAATGACTCTAAATCAGCTGAGCGTCCCCAGGCTTCTCCACAATGTGTCGTACACAAGGCACCCTTCTTCTCTTCTCTTCTCTTCTCTTTTCTTTTTGTAAATAACAGCTGTGTATTGTTTAACACAATAAATTCGGGGCTAATGTGTGACAAAAATCGGTAACTAAACCATGCACGTCTGTCTAAAATTGATACAACTTCTTGGTAAACTAAGCCTTTCCTGCTGAGGTTACCTTCTAATCCCTAACACTGTTTTTCTGAAGGATGTATTTGAATCTCTATCGGCTTTCTCTTGGTATTTCCCTGATACCTCTCTCTTCCTGGACTTCAGGCTGTTACACGTTCTTATCTAGTGTCTCATATGCACAGTATCTGTCTACATTTGCTTGCTGAAACCAGCCTACCGATGTGTATGTTTTTACTAGTGAAGTTAGTCTATTTACACTCTTGTCATTACCAGTGTTACTGACATACTTGAACCATTCTGCCGGCCTAAATTGTTTTAGGTTGGCCCACTTTTCCTGTATTTGCTCTTCTAACTTAAAAAATGCCATCTGCATCATCCCTGCCTCTCAAATAGAGAAAACACCATTAGCCCACGCTCATCTCACCCTCTCCTTTGCCCCAACCCCCGCCACATTATCTGGACTAGGTCAATGGGAAGAGGGCAGAGGAAGGGCGGCGGAAGGGGGGTGAATATGATGCACGCACTTCCCTCACGTGTATGAAAATGGAATGAGGAAACCCAATACATTTATTTTAAAGGGGGATAAAAAAGAATAATAGAGGGGTGGATTTAATCAAGGCACCTTACATGCATGTATGAAAATATCACAAATACTCCCCTTTGTACAACTCATGCATGCTAATGAAGGAAAAAGCAGGGGTGCCAAGCATGGTAGTACACGGCTGTCATCCCTGCTACTCGGGTTCTGAGGCCACAGCAAAGGAGTTCACAGACAGCCTGTCTCCAAAAAACAGAAGTTACAAGAGGAGGGACTGTACAATAGGTGAATTGGGAAGAACTTTCCATTTGCTGACTATGTGGTCTGGCTCCTTTCCGTTTTCCTAAACTACTCTATTTCAGCCACACTGGCTTTCCTGTCTTAAAGTCCACTAACGTTGTGTTTTTAATTGCTGCTCTCTGCCTGAAATGCGGACTTTTCCCCACCGTCCGTGGCCAGGGAGGTGCCATGGCCAGCTGTGTGCGCTCACGAGAGCCACTTGCACCTCTTCTCAAAACCATGCTCAGTGTCTTCATGTAAGTTAATTTGAAAAGGGTCCTGTGAGAGCACCCTTATTTTCCCTGGTCCATTATCAAATAAGAGAGTTTTTAAAATATAAAGGTGACCACAAGGCAGAAATAGAGGGAACCTCCTTTATTCATCCAAAGGCAATATAGCCAAAAACTGACAGGGAAAGTTCAGCATTGTCTGCCCCTCGAGGCAAAAAGGAGGGAATGAGATGAAAAGTACAACAATAAGCCGAGGCAAAATCACAAACAACATAACCTCACATTGATGGAAGGTGACAAAACCTAGCCAGCCATAAGGCACAACTGCAAACTCTGAGTGCTATCATTATTTCCAATGTCAAAGAAAGGCAATACAATAGGCTGCTATCTGCTGGAATCTTACTCCAAAGCAGGGCCCATATGTCAACTCATTCCCTCTTAATGGTCACAGTATTTATTTGTGGGTGCTGTATGCTGCTCTTCATAGCAGTTAGGAATTGGTCACATCGTCCACGTGTCCAAAGTAGACCGTGTTAAAGAATCAAACGATGCAGATGCAAAAGCAGAGCGCCAAGGCTGCACCAAAGCCAGTGAGTGACTCTGGCATGTGCTGTGGCAGGAATCAAGAAAAGTGCTTGTCTCCATGGTTCAACATGGCATCTCTGCATTGCTCAGACAGTGAACTGAAGAGGCAGGAACGGGAAGAGGGTGTGTATTTCCTTTACAGGTCAGAACTTTATCCGTGCCAATAGTACAGAGCAGCAGAGCAGGTGTTACTGGCATGGGGGCCAGAGCTCTGAAAGGAACAGCACCGTGTGCATGCTTCTTACTTACGCCTAGAACGCGGCTGGCTCAGGACAAAATCATTGTCATTGGAACAGCTAATCAAAGGGTGCCCAGGCCCAGAAAATCAAGTCTAGGATGGTGGCAAGTGCAGGCGAATGCTCGAGAATTTATATGCCTTGGAAGGTGGGTTTTAAAAATAGCTAAGTGCAAAGCTCTTCTCTGCAATGAGCTCAAACAAATCTGCTCTGCCAAGACAGCCCACCGCAAGGGTGGGCTCTCAGGAGTTACTGTCACTCTGTGCAGAACCCAGGTACCTCGACGTGCTCAGGAATTCTTCTCTAAAGTGTGCAGCTTGGTGTGCAATAAGGCCCGATTTCTTTCTGAAGCTTTTAGAACAGTGGCTACACTTGTATGGCTTCTCCCTGTGGATTCTCACGTGAACCATCAGGCTGGATCTCTGCCTATATCTTTTCTCACAGTGATCACATGCAAATGGTTTCTCTTCAGTGTGTGTTTTCTGGTGTAGAATGAGAGCTGTCCAACTGCTAAAGCTTTTCTCACAACAGTAGCACCCGTAAGATTGTTCCCTTGTGTGAGTTTTCATGTGCTCCATCAGACTCGACTTATGCAGAAACTTCCTCCTACACTGCACGCATTGGTACATTTTTTCAGAATGTCTTTTCTGGTGCATGGCAAGGTGTGCCCCGTGAGTGAATTGCTTCTTGCACTCAGCACATTCATAGGGCTTCTCCCCCGTGTGAATGAGCTGGTGGCGATAAAGTTCTGACCTGAGAAGGAACCTTTTCCCACACACGGAGCACTTGTAACCTAGCTCTCCTGAATGAGTTTTCAGGTGAACAGCAAGTTGGTGCCTATAAGGAAAACACTTTTCACACTGACCACAGTGGTAAGATTTCTCTATGGGAACTTTTGGCATGAGGACTCTCAGGTTGAGAGACTCCTCCCAGTCGGAGCTCTCTCCTAGGTGGGACCCGGGCTTCATGCAACTGTCCAGTAGCTCGTCGGGGGGCTCTTTGCAGATAGGCTCCAGCTGTTCGTATTCTGAGAGACAAAACATGAATAACACTCCAGGTTTTTCTGCTTGAGCATTTTATTCATTGTCCCTCCCAGCACCAAAACCCCAAGAGAAGAAACAGAAATAGCAGGTCATCTTCTTCCAGGGAGATTAGACAGATGGCAAAGAAGAGTTACACTCTAGCTGGGGGGGGAGGGGGAGGGAGCAAGGGGGAGCGGGGGTGGTGGGGGGGAGAAGGTGGAGACTCCCAAGAGACATCCCCACCCTCTCTACCCTGATGAAGGCGGGCATTAACTGTTCTTTCTTCCCTGGCATTCAGTAACCCCTCACCTACCTCTCTTGGAGCCCAACAGTTCCTCTCCTCCATGCTCCAGCAGGAAGCTCCAGTCAGGCTCCAGCATTTCGGGTCCGGGCCAGAGGGAAAGTGTGGGTGTGGTGGGGTGGGGTGGGATCTGAGTCACTACAGACTGCCTCAGAATTCAAGATGCTTTCTTGGACATGTGCGCTCTCAGCACCTACGTCCTCCTCACTTAGAATTACTTCACCAAGAGCAAGGTAGGTTGAGGTGAGCAGAAACTAGCACTTGCATAAGCTGTGTCGGGAGAGCGCGTGGATTAAGAGTTGGGGAGGATATCTGACCATATCTGTTCTATTGGAAAATTCTTACATCCACTAGACAAGGCTCATTGTGTTTTAGAGCTTAGCTCCGGGGCACTGCTGTTAACATTTAATGTCACTGAGAGATCAGGTCCCTGTGCCCACTTCTGCTGTTGTGATGGAAGCCACCTGAGCAGTTGTTTCATACAGGGCCTGAAAGCCCTCCTTGTCCTGGTCTAGGCAGACTGAGACTCTGTCACTCAAAAGGCCAGTGCCACCAACTCCAAATACCTTCACAACCAATTATTTGAAAATTAGCCCCAAAGCAGATTTTGAGCTATTTGGAGCCTGCTTGCTTTGCATACCCTATAAAACTTTGCCCGATACCTGCTGGCTGTTGAAAGGCAAAGCCTTGAGGGAAAAAGAAACCCAAGGTGATAGTGTCTCCTGTCCCAGACAGTGACTATGACTACCCATCAGCCATTCCTGAGAAGATGAGAGGTGACCTCAGCTAGGCCCCTGTGACCCCTCCCTCAGCTGGAAGAACCCTTGCCTGGCTTCCTTCCTGACTCAGGACCTTCCCCATAAGCAAACCTGATTGTCTGTCAACAAAGCTTGAGTGAGGCACATCTGCCTCTTGGCCATGTCTTTTTTGGGAGGGGCAGCACTGGGGTTTGAACTCAGGGCCTCACACTTGCTAGGTAGGCGTTCTACAGTTTGGGCCACTCCCCCGGCTCATTGGCCAAGTCTTTCCCTTGTTCAGCCCCCACATCCTTCACCGTCTCACCCCGTGTGGGGAGGATGATATTTTGGTGATAAGAAAATGAGAAAGAAATGTGGGAATGGCTGAGTCCACAGGACAATCAACTGACCTAACAGTTCCAGATGGCATCAGTGCGTGGAACTCAAAATGTGAAAGAGCTCTACATCCATGTAGCAGGCCATTACTGGGTAGCATATGAAACTTGATATTTTTCCTGGCCTCTGTCTGTGCCTCACTCCCCTGAGCAAGCAGTAGTGCCAGTGTTCCACGGACCTCACAGCTTTGGACCTGCCTGGGTGGGTGTGTGTGCGGGGGCCGGGGTGGGGGCATTAGAGGTGCTGAGACACCATAGAAAGATCCTGTTAGGCTCTAGTTATGTGCAGGGCAGGGTGTTGTAAGCACCGTGTGGCCGAGTCTCAGGAAGAAGGTCAGCACACACTTCTGGACCTAGTGTGGGCTATACCTGGCTCATAATGGCACTGATGAGGCACAGAAAGTGGCAGAGACAGGATACTCAGTGCTACACAGCTTACATTTTAGGAGCAGTACTCCTGCTAGTTCTGACTATTGAGGTCTTAGTACCATCTCCCTCTAGCATCTACAAGTGTATGGTTTGAGTTCAGATGAGACAATACTTAAGCCTGTGTCAACCGCAGACCACTTTGCTCCGCGGAAACTGTCTTTCCAGGTCTCTGGGCAAGGACCTGTATGCTGTAGTCACCCCTTCTTGTTCATCACCCAACACCCAGTCAGTCCATCACACCTGCTAAACAACGTTTGAATCACCCCTTTCACCCCATCATCACCAACATGGCTCCAGTCCACCGCCCCCCCCCCCCCCCCGCAAGGCAGCAAAGGGTCTTCTCTCTGTCTCCAGGGCCTATGCACTCAATGGTCCTCCTGCCCAGGTCCTCTCCCTCATCACTTGCACCACTCAGCAGGCTGAGTTCGTGCTGCAGGTGTTTGCCGAGATCCACTTCCCCGACAGGTCATCCCTCCCAGCTGGCCCCCCATGCCCTCCTACACACCTTCCCCATCACATACGGGACAGGCTGTCCTGTGGACATATGTGAACCACCAGCCAGAGGGTGAGCTCCAGGAGGACTGGGGCTGCGTTTCTGCTGTGTTTACTGCCACATCCCCAGGGTCTACCACCTGACCTGGCTCTTGACACATCTGGTGATGCTGGTTGAATGGAGGTGCTAAGATGTGGAAGACACGTGGTTTCTAAGCCCTGGCCCTGTGCTACTTATGGACACATCAGGCACTTCCAGTGCATAACTTGGGTTGTTCTCAAGTTGTTTCCATTTTGTCTGTTGGACCCTTCTGTAGTTCCACCATGCGGTTGGTCAATGTGCCACAACATTCAAACTGTGCCTGCTGAAGTAAGGGATGGGGCTGCAGCCAGAATGGGGCCAATGTTCATGGGGGGTGAGGGGAGGGCTGGGGTAAGGGGCATGGTTTCTAACAATGTAGGAGAACCCCAAGGGGAAGGACACACAGGAGCACCCGGACTACAAGATCCAGCTACCCTTTCCCACTGGATTTGCTCCTTCCAGAACTCACCCTGTTGTGTCGGGAGCAATGACATTGAAACCTTTGTGTGTGTCGCACTCACCTAGAAAGCATGTTAGCCAAGCACCCTGGGTTGTACTAATGAGGAGGGCCTGCGTACCATAATTGGAAAAGCACTCTTCTAGGTGGGGAAATAATAAGATAGATACTTCCTTTACGCGCCGCAAGTAACAGAACCCTCTTTGAGGATCTGAAGACAGCGTATTACCCAAGTATTCAGCCCAAATGAGGTGCTCATGCCATAATAGCAGCTGTAGCCTTTGCGACCCACAATCACAGAACCCCCGAGTTCACTTGAGTTCTCAAGCAGGAAGAAAGAGCAGGAAGAAAACCCTCGCCTTACCAGGATCCAGAAAGGGCTTGCATTTGCCAGCAGCATGGTAGTTCAGCTCTTGCTGCCCTGACTGTGGGATCCACGCCTCTGCCCCCAAGGCCTCTTGGGCAGATCCCCTTAGCTGGAGTGCAGGTGACCGCGAGTGCCTGTGTGGTGGCATGAGTTCTGTTTGCACTGGTGGCAGTTCTTCAAAGAGCGTGTCATCTATGTCAATCTGGGAAAAAGGCCAGAACCCATCAGTCCAAAGTCCAGACACTCTGGAAGTAAACTGCCCACCCACGGTCCAATGAGCCACACGTGTAGCTTGAAATTGCCCAGTGGCCCCGAGAAGCAAGGCATAGAAAGAATGGAGTTTGGCCAACTGTAATAGTATGTCACCCTTATTCTCACATGTCCAAGACCCATGATTTCAACATGTGATCCATGCAAACAAGTACTAGCGAGGTCTTCCGCTGCTTTCCCCTTCATGCAAAGACGTTCACAGGCGGTGTGCTTTTGATACTCAGTGCAGATTTCAGAGTGCACTGGCCACACACTTCAAGCGCTCAAGAGCCAGGAGGGGCTCGTGGCTTCTGTACTGGACAGGGCATGTCTAGACCCTCAAAGGCAAAATCTTCTATAGTTAAAAACCAAGAGGACAGAGAAAGGAAGGGAAACAACTCATTCGTGCTACCCAAGGATGGCAGGAAAGGTTGGAAGCCTCCTGTCCAGGGCGTCACCTCCCCTGATGCCAACAGCTCCTGCAGAGTGTCCTGCCCCACTCCCCCATAACCAAGCGTCCCTTACACACAGCTGGAAGCACCTGCTTCCTCCTCCCAGAGACACTGTCCTGGGCCCAGCTGTGGCCTCTCCAGAGCGAGGCTTCACGCAGCTGTTCTGAACAGAGGACGGTGCCACGGCTCCCACGGGCCGTTTTGGAAATGCTGGCGCATGGTGCCAGTGCACTTTAGTGGGCCAGAGATGGGAGCGTCTCTCACAATGCAGAGCTGTCCCACGTCCCTACCCAACGTGGAGTTCTCCCTCAAACATCCACGTGGGTAACATGACCTTCGGAGAACCACATCCTGCAGATCAGTTACAGACAAAATACTTGGCACATTTTAGCGTGACTCTGATTTCTTGGGAATGCACTCCTGTGCAAAGCAGAGGAAGACTATGTGACTTATTGTTCCCATTTACCAAGACTTGTTTGCCACTTTGGGAAATCACATGACAAGCAGCAGTACTGCTCATAGCACTTGTGCCTCACTGTCTGAATTCCTAAGTGTCACATCACACTGAATCTAAGCACGGATGGAGGCATGTGACTGCTTCCTGATGTCATCCGGTGAGGGGAAGCCCAAACAAGTTTATGCAGAGGTGCACATTAGCAATAATCAAATGTGTTCCCTTCCTTTAGGTCCTCTCTAGACCCTGCTGGGCTCGGGGCTGGAAAGCAGTTTCGGGAAAGAGCCACATAGTAGTTTCCGATGTGTGGGCGGCATTCGCCCTGCCATCTCTTCTCCTTCCTCTCTTTTCTTAACCAACTCTGAAACGAGGTAAAACCCCTCACTCGTGCATTGGCAGGGCTCATGCACACGGGCCGAGCCTGGAACTGGCCTTCAGGCCATCGAGCCAAATATGGATGGATTTGGTCGATGCATGCAGCTGAATTCTGCTATATGTGAATTTCATTTAACGATAGCAGAGGGGATAGGATCAGCCAGAGAGGGTTAAGAGCCAGTGAGCCAGCAGAAGGGAGAACTGAAAGGGCTGTGGAATGACACAGGCATAAAACATCTGGTCCACACCCATCTGCCTCGGTGCCTCTTTGGGTCTAAGAACAAAGGCCCCAAACTCTTTTCTTACCTGGTACTCTGGTCTCTCATGTTCTCTCTGTAAGTCTTCTATGAGGGAAAAGAGTCTTTCTTTGTTCTCTGGGCAGTAAGTGCTCACCCTGGCCTCTAGGTGGGTGGGCAGAATAGTCAGGAATTGCTCCAACACGAGCAGCTCCAGGATTTGTTCCACAGAACGCATCCTTGGCTTCAGCCACTGACTGCAGAGCTCCGAGAGTTTTCTGAAAACTTCCCGAGGCCCAGCTTCTGCTATGTACTGGAACTGCCTGAAGCGCTGGCGGGAGGCTTCACTGTCTGCGTCGTCCCGGTGCAGCACGGGATCCCCTTTGCACAGGAAGGGGGCCAGGAGGGAGTAGTCCGCGGGGCTATCCATTGTGCCCGCTGGCTCCTTAGAGCTTATCTGGGGCCTGAGGCCTCAGATTCCAGGACGCTTCTCTCCGAACTCCTTCGGGGGAGCCACCTACAGCAGAGGAAAACGTGAGAAGTGAGGCATAGCGGTGGCGATGAGAAGACATACTCAGTGCCCTCAGGTTTTCAGAATCAAACCTTACCAAGCCCGAGGACGTGGACTGACTCTCTTCCCAGATAAATACGCATACGAGTCCACCTCTGCGTTCAGCTTGCAAAAGTTTCCCATAATCTCCAAGCCCATCCACAGACCCTCTGGCACTGCGCCCTCCTCTCCAGCATGAGAGCCAACACCCCCATGTGGCCACTTCAGTGGGAATAATGAAAATCACCAATTGAGTTGCCGGCCACATTTTAGCTGCAGAGAGCTATCCAGCATTGGGCAGTTCTGCTCTAGAAGTGCACGGGCCCCAGGCTGGTAACCCCTGCAATTAAGGAGACTCCTACAGATGTGCAGGCCTTGAGCCCACTCCCAGTCTAACGAGGGCAATCTTGTGTTTCTGAATACCGGGAGACTGCACACACACTCTCACACACACACACACACACACACACACAGACACACAACACACACACACAGACACACACACGAGTAGGAACACTAAGGAGAGATTGTACTGCAGAACCTCAAAAGTTCTTCTAGCTTGCAGTCCCCCTTATAGCCAGGCCCTGCAGGGACAGCTAGTTCTCAATCCCTTGTCTTCTCATTGCAGAGTATGTGTGATCTTACTATTGACTCCATGCCCTGCTCCGCCATCCCCTCCCAACATAGCCTTCCAAGCAGCCCACCTATGAGGAAAACACACTGCACTGCCCAACGGGCCCTGGGAATTTGCTGTGCGTTCTTCCTGAAGGACGCTTATGGAGTTCCCGCCATGTGCCAGGTACAGTCCTAAGTGTCCTGCATAGATCAGTTCAGTTAGTCCTCACCGATGTTGGGAGCTGGGGAGTAGCGTGGCCCGCTGAATGCATAGGAGGGAAGGGAGGTTTAAGGCCTGGGGGCGGGGGGGGTGGAGCTCAGCTAAGCTGGCCACATTCCCAATGCCAGAAGGAAGTGACGATGAGGTTAGAATCTATGGTTTCCTGCATTTGAGAAGTCTAAATAACATGAAAATGTTCTTGTCACAATCTCTGAGGTCACGGACACGGTCACAGACACGGTCACAGACGCGTCTCCGCGGGTCTCAGGACTTGTACCTGCAGGTGTGCTATGGGTTGGCCTTCACTCTGTGTTTTCTGGGATTGATCCGGTACCTGCCCTCTTGTCTGAAGGAGGCCCTAAAAGAGAAATGTGTGTGATTCCCTTCCCACAGCAGACTCAATATCCACCGTCCCCATACCATTCCACCCAGTGCCTGTGTGCATAAAAGGAGGAGACTCAGGGCTTCGCGACTTCATCATCTGTTCTGTGCAGATCCAGTGGTGTGGAAACTGAGTGCCAAACACCACTGTCCCTCCCTGCACAGAGGAAGTGCCCGACAGAATGAGGATCAGCCTGCTGTATGCGACCAACCTGGGGTTGAAAAAAGCTGAGGTGAAAACTGTATGGGGAACGGACATGGACAGAGTTTTTGTCGTCATTCCCTAAACAGTGTGGTATAACAACCATTTCCTTAGCATTTACATTGTATTAGATGCTATGGGTGCTCTAGACACGATTTGAAGTATGGGGGAGATGGAGAGATGGAGACGTGACTAGATTGTATTCAAATTCTAGGTCACACTATAGAAAGGTATTGAGTGAGTGGGTGTGCTAGGGTAATCCTCGAAAGGTTCGGTCACCAGTCCTCCTTGGGTAACAAGGGAGGACCGTCATTGCTGGCCATCACTGTGCCCCAGGAAGGTTCTAATGTCTTTAGCCAAGGCTCCCAAGCTTCAGGCTGGGGCCCTTCGAGTGTGGCTCACCCATGCACGTGCCCCGCCCTCCCCTAACTGACTGCGAAGCTTTCTCTAAGTCTACCAGGGAAGTGACCTCGGGGGATCCTCTCCAGGGGCTGGTCCCAATTCCAGTTCACCTGACCACTGGAGCGTGGTTTCTCCTGAAACCCTTGTGCAGTGTTCCCGCCCTCACAGGCCCTGGGCAGGCAGGCTGTTGGTTCCCCAGAAGAGGGCACTTGGGGAATGTGGGAAATGTCCCCGAAAAGCCCCAAATCCGGAATAAGAACAGACGAGGTGGTGCGGGGCAGGCTCCCTGAGTGAGTGCTGTGCCAGAGGGGGTGACACAGCCCCGCCCCGAAGGGGGCTCCTCCCGCTCTGCTCTGCTCTGAGGAGGCCCGGCCTCACCCTGCTCGCGGGTAGCTCCCTCAGGGACACGGGGCTCACAGGAATGCCAGTGGCCTGCCCGCAGGTCTCTTCCACCCACAGCCGCCCCCGCCAGGCCCCCCTACCGCGACACCTCGTGACCCCCGCAGCCCCTGCCCCTCCCCCATCCTCGGGAGAACTGGGGTCCTCCCGGCCTCTGTGCCTCCTGTGGGTGTCCGCGCCCCAGCCCCAGCGACCACGCGGAATGGCCCGCCGCTGCAGGTCTTCCCTACCCCTTCCCCTCCCGAGGGGCTGACAGGGACCTGTTGCCTGTCGCGCTCTCCGCGCACCCAGCGCCCAGGTCCTGAGGGAGACCCAGGCCTGATCAAGGCGCCCCCTGGCTGCGCACGCGACGAGGAGCAAAGGAGGAGCTCGCGTCGCGCCCTCCTGCTCCCGCTCGCTCGCTCCTCACAGAACCGGCGCCCGCCCGGCGGCCTGGCGCTCGGCGCTCTGTCCCGCGTCTGCGAGGGAACGGAGCGCGCCACCTGTGCCAGGGCGGGAAGAAGGCGGGTTGCTCAGGCCCCTGGGGGAAGGGAGCCCCCCATCCCGCCTCGCGAGGGAGTCCGAGCCCGGGCCTGGCGCCCTGTGGCTTCTACCTCTGCCCAGTCCCACAGGCTAGCAGGGGCTCGCAGCTCCTTCACCGTCCGGGCCTGGCCAGGGCTGGAAGCCCCCAGTTACTGTCCCCCCCCCGCCCCCGCCCCGGCTCACGGTGCCAGGACAGCTGCGGACACACACGGGTCCTGGCTGAGGAAGCCAGACCAGGGAGGTGGCGCCTCAGGACAGAGAGACGGCACCTCCCCCACCCCCACCCCCAGCCCACCTCACACCCTGCGACCCCTTCTGGGTGGGAGGGGAGTCGCCCCTCTCCGGCCTCCGGGGGGGCGGGGTGGGGGAGCTCTGGGCTCTCTTGAGTCTCGCGGACTCACTCCTCAATGTCCCCGTGCCCACTGCCACACAGGGCTCGCTGGGCTTCTTCCTGGCCTCGCTCTGAGCGGTGACCTCAACCCAGCCTCCTCCGTCTGCCTCAGCCAGGTGCGTAGCGCGGGCCCACGTGTCCCGCGTACTGCACGTGCAGCTTAGGTCTGCGGGAGCAGACCAATGGGAGCCAGCGGCTGTGGGAAAGTCCTTCTCTAGGCCTTGTGACTGGGTGACAGGGTCAAAGAGAGGCCAGCCGATCCCTCCCGGTACTCCATACTGCGTGATGTCCGCTTGGGAGACTTGGGGACACTGAGGCCGTAGTACTTCCCACAGGGGGTACGCTCCCACTGCATTGCTAGACTCCGGGCTTGTCAGATTACAGCCCGCACCTGGTGCGTGGCCTGGGGGACGCAGCGGGAAGGTTGTGCACCTCTGCTCCTCTCTAGGGCACACCTGCACATTAAGGCCCCTACGCCCTCCCTTCCTTGTCCATTTTCCGGACATCCGTGTGAGTAGGGAGGCTCCCTTCTGAGGCCAGGCCTGTGTCAGACGTGTGCTCTCAATCTGTGCAGTTGTACACTGCACATGCAAAACACACTTCTTCGCTTTCATAGAAGGAAGAAATAGCACCCACAGAGACCAGTTCTTGAGCATGACAAACAACGGTCCTTTGCACTCACAAAACACCCCCTTTAGGAAGAGACGGGACTCAAAATTTCTCATGCGAAAGGATAAGCTAGAAGCCATTAGCAACACAAGCACTAACAGTTGAAACTCAATCAGAATGAGATACTTCAAGCACCCCCTACTCAAAACACCATCCATAATTGTGGAGACCAGCCCAGAAAACACTGTGAATTGGGCCCTGAACAGGTTCCACTTTCTTTTTAACGGAACTTCATTTTCAAGACTCATTTCAGGCAGTAAGGCCTGTGTGCCAACTTCTGCTCAAGATCATTGTCTTAGTTCCCTCCCTGCAGAGTGGTATCCCAAAGGAGCAACTATACATCAGCACTTTTCTGCACCCCATTCCCATAATGGCATGTGTAAGCTCGACCTGGGAACAATGGAGACTCACAGGCTCATGGTCACAGATCCTCACCTTTTCATATCATTTTTGTCCCGCCTGTACAAGGTACGTGTCTAAACCAGCTCCAAACTCACTGTTCCCAGGGACTTTTATGGAAAACAATGTGACCTGCCACCGAGGGTGACATGATTAAGGAGCCTGCCTTCCAAATAATGGCCAAGAGCCTCAGAGTTGATGTATTCCTCCCCCCAACACACACACAAAATCAAAAAAGTATGCAGAGTGCAGCTCTGCTGGGCCTGTCCCCGAAGAAAGCACATGGATTCTGGGATGTGCTAGCTACAAAGAGGAAGGAAATTTACACATTCCCCCATCAGCTGCACCGGAGCCACTTGAGTGATTCCCTCAGTCCAGGGAGGTCCTCTGACAAACAGCCGCCTTGACTGAGTCACACCTGATCCCGCTGACCATACCCAAGGTGGCTCCCAGAGAACTCTTTCACACCAGCCAAGCTGGACAAGGAAATGGGAGATGGTTGGAGCACAAGGCCATGTGTCTCTCAGGTCCAAAGGTGGCCGTCTCTGAGACTCCCAGGGAGCGTGGCCTGCTTGGGAGGGACGTTCCTTTCACAGGAATCTGGACCTGCCCCAGCTCCCACTTGCCCTGCCTCCCCTAGGACCTACAGTTTCCCAGGTAAGGAAGACCAGGGGACAGTA